CCTCAGACATCAAAGCCAGCATCTGAGATCTTTTCTCACAATGTTTCTGTGATGACCAAGAAATCCTTCTTCTCCTTCCTGACTACATAATTACAATAAACAAACAAATGCATACACAGGGATTTTTTTAACCACATCACGTGACATGCAAATAGAATGAGTGCACTACTAGTCCAAAGTAAAATAAATGGGCCCAAATACTTTTAAGAGCCACATGATTTAATGAGGCTCACGTTAAAATTCCGTGGTTATATAACAGCAAGTTATATTTTTATTATGAATGCATATCTTTCCAGTTATTTGGATAATCTAGAGTCCTTAATTCATAAAATAATTGACATATATGTCTGATTTTTTAATTAATATGTATCTATTTTTTCTAATCGTTTTTCAAAAGAAAACACTTCAGTTATATTTCTTATACATGCATCTATCTCATGCTCTGCATTTTATAGTACAGATATTTAAGATGAATGTATTTTATTATAAAATATCTATTTCAAGAGATATACAACCATCAAGCAATCTCTAGTTATCAATTTACTGTACCAATTTTTATAAGATGATCAATAGATATGATTCTGTCAACAGAAATGTCCAACAGCTTTAACTATACTTTCACTGACACAATTCTTATCAAGGTACAATAAGTAATTTGTTTAGACTCTAAGATTTATAAAAATTGACCCAAAGTAAAACAAAAAGAAAGATTTTTATAGAAGAAAACGAAGATGTTTCTACAGAGAGGAAACAGACATGTTTACTAGTATGATTATCTAGCCCTAAGTGACAGAAATAAAAGGATCTCTACTAGGAGGTCCTAAAAAGAAAGAAATCATCTTCAGATAAATGGAAAGGTCTTTATATTCTAAGTTTTCATGATGAAAATATTAATATAATTATCTAGACAGATGACATGGAAAGGTCAAAACAATTGAGAAACAGATTTATGTATAACTGGACTGACTATATATATTTCAACAATCAATTCTAGGATATTCTACCCTATTTCCCTGATTTTATTATGCTGATGTAAGCTTTTTCTCCACATTCTGACATGACAGAACTTATTAAAATATTAAGCTTATACCTACAATTTGTGCTGTTTGATCAAGGACCAATTTATAATGAATCAAATTTATACAACCTTGATCAAACAATAAGTGTTTTAAAATGCTGACTTAAATTCCAATTTTGACACTTCTCATTGGAGAGCAAATTTAATTGATTCAAAGATATCAGTAATTGCAATGATTGCTGCTGATTCTTGCATATCATTTCTGTTCATTGGATGTTTGTGGGATTTGAGAAAACATTATATTCAAAATGTTCTCCACATTAAAGCCATATGTGAGTTTTGAGCAATAAAACTTACAAACATTGTTAGAAATTCATTGGTATTATATACATTCTGTAACTGGACCTATAGTCCGTGAAACATTGTAAGACTTGTATACTGTTCCCTACACTGGGAAGTAATTTTAATCATAATTTTAAAAGGACAATTAAGAAACACCTATTTAAAGAATAATATCCCAAAATATAAAGATATTCTGTGTAAAGAATAATAGTGAAGAGGAGACACAGGTGTAGCAAGGCCCACAGGGACCTTGGAGACCTTCTTACCAGGTCCTTATTGTCGTCCCTTGATTGAAGCTGTGACATCCCAGTTTTGTGGGAGTGGCAGCCTCAAACCTATATGTGTCTGATGTTGAACTGTGGAGCCACCATGGGGTGAATAGGGAACCCCAGTCAGGGCACCTCTCTGCTCCCATGAGGGATGCCTCATGTTGGGGTCCTGGTGTGGGGCTGTCTCTGGTTCACAGGGAAGCAGGATGCTAAAATCATATTTAAATTCCACACATTCAGAAGACAATTTTGTACAGACCTGAGCAGTTTATTTGATTGTAGATGGTTTTTAGTCTCCACACTCTTGGTATAAGATAATATTTTCAGTTCCTACGCAATGCTTAATGGACTTGCACCTAAGTCCCGGGGAAAGGGGCAGACCTTTTATCTATATCACACAGAACAGACCTCTGGGTCCATCTGCTCAGGGCCTCGACGTCTCCTCCATGTTCCTCAGGTTGTAGAAGATGGAGTTGAGCATTGGGTGAGGGTGGTGTGGAAGACAGGCAGAACCTTGTTCCCTGCTGAAGACCAGAAGGATCATGGCTGGGGGTGAGAGCAAAGGGTGCTGAGTGGAAGGTCACCACAGTGAGGCGGTGCTGCAGAGGGAGAAGACATTCTTCTTCCCTGTCCCAAGGCCATAAAGCAGAGAGCAAGAAGTACTTGACCACAGAAAAAAGGGATTCCAATGAATGCAAACATAAGGAGATGTCACGCAGATCAGTGAGGGACAGCCAGTACACCAGGAAATAGAGAGGTGTGTGGAGGCGGACATCCAGGAGGGTGAGAAGGATCAGGGACAGGTTGTGAATTAGAGCCATTAGGAAGATGAGAGCAATGCAAATGAAGAGGAAAGACTAAATCCATTTTTATATCATTATTATTTGGGGCTGGGGATTGAGCCTGGGGAGCACAACCACTGAGCAACATCCCCAGACCTTTTGATTTTTTATTGTGACACAGATCTTGCTAAGTTCCTTAGGGCCTCACTAAGTTGAGGCTGTCTAGGTTTGTGATCCCTCTCCCTCAGCCTGCTTGGCCACTGGAATTATAGCTGTGTGACGCTGTGCCCAACAACACTGGTATCATACCCTTCTTCCTTAGGTTTTTTTCATTTCCTTTTTTTTTTTTTTTTTTGGAATGGGGGGTGTCCTGTGAATTGAACTCAGGGGCCCTCAACCACTGAGCCACCTCCACAGCTATAGTTTGTACTTTATTAGAGACTGGGGCTCACTGAGTTGTTTACTGTCTCACTATGTCTGAGGCTGGCTTTGAGCTCACAGTCCTCCTGCCTCAGCCTCCTGAGCCATTGGAATGAAGGCATGAGCCATTGCACCTGGATTTGTTGTTTTATATTTATTTTATTTCTTTCAGTTACTTATATATGACTATAGAATGCATTTATGCACTTTGATATATCATACATAGATGGGATATCATCTCTCATTTTTCTGAGTGTGCATGTTGCAGAATCATATGGGTCATGCAGTCACCTATGTATGACAGTACCCCAAACACAGAGAGAAATCCAGCCTGGGTTTTCTGGCTTACTCCATCCAAGGATTAATCATGGGGAGAAAAGCTGAGTTGGATTTAAAATTCAGTGCTGTAAAAGAAGTTTAAGACAAAACGGGACAAGCTACAAACATGAGGATACACCTGCAGAGCTGCATCTGCTGATGGGAACAGTAGTGGGTCCACACACACAGCAGCGGCAAACTCACCACCTGAGCTAGGGGAGTGCTCAGTGCTAGAGCGCCTACCTAGCATACACAAGGCAGGATTGGGTCCCTGGCACAAGGAAAAGAAAAGAAATAAACTCCATTAATAATAGGGCAAAGTATATTTTGAGAAGGAGCCTCTCCAAACAATACATACAAACTACAAGATTTTATAATGCTCTTTAACTTGCCTATGTACAACACAACACATGAGACTTAGTCATCAGCAGGCCAAGAAGGCATCAAGGAAAAGGAAGAGATCAGCTGCAGGGCACACAAGGGCACATGCCTATGGTCCCAGCTGTAGGAGGCTGAGGCAAGGTGACTACAAGTTCAAGGCCAGCCACACTCTCTTAAAAAATAACCATTAACATGGTTAGGGTGAAGATCAGTGGTGGAGCCCTCCTGGGTAATGTCTGAAATAACAAAGGGAGAAAAGGAGGAAAGAAGAGATATTTCACTAATCTGTATACAAGGCTGGAGTGGAGAGGCCTCAACTAACACACACAATGTGTCTGAAACTTCTGAATTAAATTGGGAAGTCAGGAAATAACAATTGATTTTTGAGAAGGAATAGTGGGCAGCAACATTGTGAGAAAAGTCAAAGAAATCAATAGTTGCATGACACAGTGAGGATGAAAGCACTGCACTAGGGAGTGTATGTAGAGAAAAGGGTGACTTGATCCTGTACATGTGTGTGCACGTGGGTGTGAGTGTGCATGTGCGGGTGGCACAACTCACACCTCCCAGGTGTTTTTTAATGTGACTTGCTGCTCTGGAAAACCCTCACATGAGCACCAGGGCATTTCTGATAGCCTCTGTGACCCTGCTAAAGTGCTTTTCTGGTGCCTGGTGCATGAAAGGGAATAGTAACTGAAGTTCATTATATCATGAGCTCTTAATAGAAATGGATAATTGGTTTCCTTAAATATTGAAATAGTTCTTCCACCCCTGTTTTCAACGTAAATTATCTAATATACATCTTCCAAGTCAACTCCAGTTTAGTTCAACTGAACTAATAATAATTTGGAAGGTGTGAGTTAATGTTCTTATGATGATCAGCATCATTTTGGAATCTTAGAGCTTGAGGGACGTTAACATACAGAAAGACATGAAGAAGTAATTCTGGCATCTGAATTGGTGACACCTGGAAACTTGACACAAACAAAGCACATTTCGATTTACATCAGGGATTCAGGAAACACCCAGGAGCTGAGCATGGTAGCATATGTCTGATATCCCAGTGGCCACAGCAGGAGGATCACAAGTTTCAACCCAGCCTCAGCAAGAAATGGAGGCCCTTAAGAAGAACTTAGCAAGATCCTCTATGAAACAAACAAAAAAATAAACAAAAAATTAAAAAGTTCTAGGGATGAGGCTCAGTGCTTAAAGACTCCAGATATAATGATGGTAATGTTCCTTTTCTCTTCTCCATTCTCTGACCCTGGTAATTATTTCTCTAAAACCTCTCTCAATTTTTATTTTATCAAAACATATGTAAAAGTCATACAATATTTGAGGACACAGAAAATATCAGAATTCCATATAGAAAAAATATCAGAATTCCATATAGAAAAAGTTTTCAAATTATGAGACCTGAGTTTTAAATCTGATAAAGCCTTTACTAAAAAAAAAAAAAAAAAAAAATGGACACTATAAGAGAAAATGTACTTAATGGAAGGAGAGAGATAAAAACTCTAAAAAAGTATTTAAATGCTGAGACTAAAAGTCAATGCAACTAACATTTTTGCACACACAAAAATGCACAGTATATATAAGATTATGTTATATCAAAAGATGCAAAGAACTTAAAATACAAAAAAAAAAAAAGTTGAATTTAACAATAACAGAGATTTAACCTTGCTTTCACATCTTCACACTGATGCCATCCTTACATCCACTCTAGGGTGCATTTTTGTCACCTGTGAATAGCCAGAATGAAGGCACATACACTTTTCAATCTCCCACAGTTGTTTTCTCAAAAGAGCATGGTTGCTGAAGGCAGCGAAGACTACATCAGGCTGAGGCAGCAGGATCACAAGTTCAAAGCCAGCCTCAGCCACTTAGGACCTAAGCAACCAAGTGAGACCATGTCTCAAAATTGGAAAAAAAATAAAAATAAAATAAAAAAGACTAGGATGTGTCTCAGTGGTTCAGCACCTCTGGGTTGAAATAATAATAATAATAATAATAAAATAATACAAAATATTCCCTCAAATCTGAACAAGTCCAACTAGATCTGAAACAAGGAATGTCTTACCACATTTCTACATACAAGGCTTTTCTCCAGTTTGAGGTCTTCCGTGCTGTTTAAAGAGGCCTTGACAGTTGAAAGGGTACCATATCGTGTCAAGACCAGAAGGGGGGACATTCAAGATGGTGGGCCAGAGACAGGCAGCATCCTGTGTTGTTCCGTGGCCTAGGTCTCACCTCATCGGAATACAGGATTTCAGAGAGCGTGAAAATACACTCAGAGCCTCAGCGTTCGAGTAAGACTCTGGACTCAAGGCCCAAAGCCCGCAGCTCTAGCCAAAAGCAGCTCTTGAGTGGCTCAGCAGAAACACCTCTCAGCCCCTCTGCAGAACTCCATGCTGCACCCCATTCCCACACAGGCCACTCAGCTGCTACCTACCCACAGCACAAGGCCATCACCAAGCTCCCCCCACATCACTGGACACCCCAGCGCTGGAAGCAGACCGGCTCCATCTTGGATCACCTTTCTCCCCGTATTTGGTGAGCATGGCTGGCAGATGGGAACTCCCTCTGAGCCACATATCATCCTGCCAGATCCCCAGTTCATTGTCCACCACCAGAGACTGTAAACCTTTTAACAAAACTACTGACTATATTTTAAATAATAATTGAATCCAACATTTCTGGACATTGAGACTAAACTGTAAATGTCTTTATAACAACAAATAGTTTATACGTAAGGTATTGTTGATATTGGGATCTGTTAACATCGTCCTTCCCCACAAAGGAGGGATCTTGCAAACCTACAAGAGCACTACAAATCTATAGGGTAAAAACAATAGCACCTCAGAACCACAGAGCTGGAAAGGAAGACGCACAAGTAACATGAAAAGACAAGGGAAGAAAGTGCCCAAACAAATCAAGACAACACATGATTAGAATCATTGGCAGCTACAGCAGAAAAATGGACACAGAAAGATTTCAGGATATACATGGTTTTAATGTCCTGTGAACTCCAAGAAGATATAAGAGAGCAAAGACAAGCAGTAAAAGATCACTTCTATAATCAGCTACATAAGCAAATCCAAGAAGTAAAAGATCACCTCAACAGGGAGACAGAGGTTCTAAAGCAAAGAAACAAACAGAAATTCTTGAAATGAAAGAAATAATAAACTAAACTCAAAGCTCAAATGAAAGCATCACGAACAGAGAAGACCACAGGGAAGATAGGACATCAGACAATGAAGATAAAATATATAATCTTGAAAGGAACATAGACCATAGAGTGAAAATGGTAAGGAAACAGGAGCAGAACATTCAAGAAAATGGGATAGCATAAAAAGCCAAATTTGGGAGTTATTGGGATAGAGGGAAGCATAGAGGACCAAACCAAAGGAATCAAGGATCTATTCAATGAAATAATATCAGAAAACTTTCAAAACATGAAGAATGGATTGGAAATCCAAATTGAAGAGGCTACAGGATGCCAAATGTACAAAATCAAAACAGATCCATACCAAGGCACACAATAATAAAAATGCTCACCATACGGGATAGGGAGAGAATTTTAAAAGCCATGAGAGAAAGGAATCAGATTATATATAGGGGAAAATCAGTTGCGATAATGACAGATTTTTTCATCACAGACCCGAAAAGCTAGAAGATCCTGGAACAACATCTATCAAGCTGAAAGAAAATGGGTGCCAAGCAAGAATCTTGAATCCAGCAAAAGTAAGCTTTAGATTTCAAGATGAAATAAATTCCTTCCATGATAAACAAAAGTAAAAAAGAATGTATAGCTAGAAAACCAGCACTACAAAACATCATTGGAAAAATATTCCATGAAGAGGAAAAGAAAAATAACAATGAAAATCAAAAGAGGAAGGTAGTACCCCCAAGAAAAAACTAATCAAAGAAGAAAATCAAGTCAAGTTAAATAACAAAAATAAACAAATATGGCTGGAAATACAAACCATGTCTCAATAATAACCCTGAAAGCTGATGGATTAAACTCACCAATCACAAGACATAAGCTAGCAGACTGGATTAAAAACAAACAAACAAAAAAAAGACCCAACAAGATGCTGCCTCCAGGACGCTCATCTGATAGAAAAAGACATACACTGACTGAAGGTGTAAGGTAGGGAAAAACCATACCACTCACATGGACTGCACAAGTAAGCCAGGGTTTTTCATACTCATATCAAATAAAGGAGACTTGTCAAAGGGAATGAAAAGGGATAAAGATGGACATTACATATTGCTCAAGGGAACCATACACCAAGAAGATGTAACAATCATAAATATATATGCCCCAAACAATGGTGCAGCTATGTTCAAACAAACTCTTCTCAAGTTCAAGAGTCAAATTGACCACAACACAATAATCTTGGGTGAAGTTAACTACACCTCTATCACCACTGGACAGATCTTCCAAACAAAAATTGAATGAAAAAACTATAAAACTCAATAACATAATCAATAATTTAGACTTAACTGACACATATAGAGTATTTCAACCTGCATCAAACAGAAACACCTTCTTCTCAGTAGCACATGGATCCTTCTCTAAAATAGACCATACACTATGCCACAAAGCAACTCTTAGCAAATATAAAAAAGTAGAGACACTACCATACATTTCATCAGATCATAATTAAATGGAATTGGAAATCAAAAACAAAAGAAAAAGTAAAAATTTCTCCAACACTGGAGACTAAAAATAGGCTACTGAATAAACAATGCATTGCAGAAGGAATCAAGGAGGGGATTGAAAATTTCTTAGGGGTAAATAAGAACAGAGAAACAACCAATGGAAATCTGAGACACTGTAAAAGCAGTACTAAGAGGAAAATTCATTGCATGGAGTTCATTCTTTCAAAGAAAAAAAAAGTTAACAAATAAATGACCTCACACTACCTCTCACAGCCCTAAAAAAAGAGGAACAAACCAGCAGCAAAAGCAGTAGAAGGGAAAAAATAATTAAAATTAGAGCTGAAATCAATAAAATGGAAACAAAAGAAACAGTTGACAATATGGACAAAAAAGTTGGTTCTTTCAAAAAATAAATAAAATTGACAGACCCTTAGCCATGCTAAAAAAGAGAATGAGAGAGAGAGAAAGAACTCAAATTACCCGTATACATGATGTAAATAATAATATTACAACAGATATGACAGAAATACAGAGGATAATAGAAGACATTGAAGTTACCAACAAATTTCTTAAGTCATACGATCTGCCCAGATTGAATCAGGAAGACATACACAATTGAAACAGACCAATATCAAGTGATAAAATAGAAAACAGAGCTTACCAAGATTGTGCAATATGATTAAGTGGGATTCATCCTAGAGATGCAAGATTGGTTCAACTTATGCAAATCTATAAACGTAATTTATGACATCAATAGACCCAAAGATAAGAATCATATTATCATCTCAATAGGTGCAGAAAAAAAAATTGACAAAGTACAGCACCGCTTTATGTTCAAGACACTAGAACAACTAGGGATAACAGTAACATATCTCAACATCGTAAAGGCTATCTATGCTAAGCCTCAAGACAACATCATTCTAAACAGAGAAAAATTAACAGCATTTTCTCTAAAAACTGGAACAAAACAGGGCTGCCCTCTTTCACCACTTCTATTCAACATAGTTCTTGAAATGCTGGCCAGAGCAATTAGACAAATGAAAGGAATCAAAGGGATATGTATAGGAAAAGAAGAACTTAAATTGGCACTATTTGCTGATGATATGATTCTATATCTAGAAGAACCAAAAAACTCCACCAGAAAAATTCTAGAACTGGTAAATGAATTAAGCAAAGTAGCAGGACATAAAATCAACACTCATAAATCAAAGGATTTCTGTATATCAGTGACAAAGACTCTGAGAAGGAAATGAGAAAGACTACCCAATTCACAATATCATCAAAAAAAAATACTTGAGAATCAACTTAATGAAAGAAGTAAAAGATCTATACAATGAAAACTACAGAACCATAAAGAGAGAAATCAAAGAAGACCTCAGAAGATGAAAACATCTAACTTGCTTTTGGATAGGCAGAAATAATATGATCAAAATGACCATACTACCAAAAGCATTATACAGATATAATGCAATTCCCATCAAAATCCCCCAGGCATTCCTCATACAAATAGAAAAAGCAATCATGAAATTCATCTGGAAACATAAGACATGAAGAATAGCTAAAACAATCCTTAGACTGAAGTAGGTGGCATCTCTATACCAGATCTTAAACTATACTACATAGAAATAGTAGCAAAAACAGCATGGTGTTGGCACCAAAACAGACTGGTAGACCAATGGAACAGAATAGAGGACACAGACACTAACCCAGAAAATTACAATTATCTTGTAGTCTGTAATATTCATCATGTGGGATTAGGCCGCAACTTCCTATAGCCCAAGAATTAAAACCAACAATGAATAATGGGATGGAACTTTTTAAAGTTTCTTCTGAGCAAAAGAAACAATTTGTGAGGTGAACAGAAAGCCTACACCCTGGGAACAAGTTTTTACCCCTCACACATCAGACAGAGCACTAATCTCTATTGTATATAAAGAACTCGAAAAGCTAAGCAACAACAAAAAAACAAATAATCCAATCAACAAATGGGCCAAGGACATGAACAGACACTTCTCAGAAGAGAATATACAATCAATCAACCTGTATAAGAAAAAATGCTTATCCTCTCTAGCAATTAGAGAAATGCAAATCAAAACTTCTCTAACCTATCACCTCACTCCAGTCAGAATGACAGCTATTATGAAGACAAACAACAATAAGTGTTGGTGAGGATGCGGGGGAAAAGGTACCCTCTTACCTTGCTGGTGGGACTTCAAATTGGTGCAGCCAATTTGGAAAGCAGTGTAGAGATTCCTTGGAAATCTGGGAATGAAACCACCATTTGACCAAGCAATCCCTCTCCTCAGACTATACCCAAAGAACTTAAAAACACCATACTACAGGGACACAGCCACATCAATGTTTATAGCAGCAAAATTCACAAGAGCTAAACTGTGGAGTCAACCTAGATGCCCTTCAGAGGATGAATGGATTAAAAAAAAGTGCCTTGTATACAAAATGGAAGTTTAATCAGCAATAAAAAAGAAAATAAAATCATGGCATCTGCAGGTAAATAGATGGCACTGGAGAAGATAATGCTAAGTGAAGTTAGTCAATCCCCAAAAAACAAATGCTGAATGTTTTCTCTGATATAAGGAGGCTGACTCATAGGGGGTACATAGGGGGAGCATGGAAGGATTAGATGAATTCTAGATAGGGAAGAGGACTGGGAGGGAAAAGGAGGGGACAGAGGATTATCAAGGACGGTGGAATGTAATGGACATCATTATACAAAGTACATGTATAAAGACATGAATTGGGTGTAAAAATTCTTTATATACAGAGATGAATAATTGTGGTATATATGTGTAATGAGAATTGTAATGATTCTGCTGCAATTTCTTTATCCAAAATAAATAAATAGATAACTAGCAGATGGGTTTTCCCAGATGTAAATCCTTTTTAAAAAAAATTTTAAAATATTTATTTATTTATTTATTTTTAAGTTTTAGGCGGACACAACATCTTTGTATGTGGTTCTAAGGATCGAACCCGGGCCACATGAATGTCAGGCGAGCCCGCTACCGCTTGAGCCACATCACCAGCCCAGATGTAAATCGTTTTATGTCTTTGAATAAAACTGTCAAAATTAAGTACTGCCCAACATGGCTTATCCACAGGATTTTCTACAGTATTTTTTTTAATACAACTGAACAAAACTAAAACATCTGAGCCCTTTGTATTTCTTACTTGCGTAGGATTTATTCATTTTGGCATGAATCTTTCCAAAAGAATCTTTCTAGTAGTCAAAATAAACTGCAAAAATTAAAAGATTTCCCACATTTTTAACATTCATAGGGCTTCTCTCCATGAGAATTTTCATAAAAGAGAAGAAAAATAGGTCTAGAACATGAAGCTGATAGAGTAGAGCAAATCGTTCCCATTCAGAGTGTTTGTTTTCCAGTGAGGGAAATGGCTTTGAAGACAACAGGGAAAATGGAATGATTTGCCATATTTTTTCACATTTAAACAGTTATTCAGCCAGATGTGGTGATGTATGCCTTTAATCCCAGTGACTTGGGAGGCTTAGGCTGAAGGATCACAAGTTTGAGGCCAGCCTCAGCATTTTAGAAAAACCCTAAGGAACTCAGCAAGTCTCTGTCTCAAAATTAAAAATATAAAAAAGAATGAGGATGTGTCTCAGTGGTAGAGGGCCACCAGACCAAATCTGCAGTACAATCCCCAGTACAATATTCAGCAGAGTGAGCAGTGTGTTTGAAGGGGACAAGAAATATTGATCCACCACATTTCACATTTAAAGAATTTTTCTCCAGTAAACTTCCAATATGTTGATGAGAAGAACAGTAATAAAAGAAGGCTTTGCCAATTGTTTTCATCAGTACAATTTCTTTGCAATATGAGTTTGTTCATGTAAGTGAAGCTGATGGGATATAACAACGGCTTTTCCCCATTGTTGACATTCATAGGGCTTCTCTCCAGTATGAGTTCATTCATGTGAGCAAACATGAGAGGACTGAGTGAAAGCTTTGGCAGACTGCATACATTGATAGGGTTTCTCTTGAGTGTGAGTCCCTTCATGTCTGTGAAAGAAAGACCAAGAAAAAGACTTTTCCACATTGTTGGTATTCATTAGGCTTCTCTTCTGCATGAATTCTTCCATGTATATGAGGTTTACTGGATGTGCCAAGGGGTTCTGCACATTGTTGATATTCATAAGGCTTCTCTCCAGTATGCCTTTGTTCATGTCTGTGAAGGTTAGAAGAAGTAGTGAAGACTTTCCCACATTGTTGACATTCATAGGGTTTCTTTTTTGTATGAGTTTTTTTATGTGAGTGAAGGCTAGACGATAGAGCAAAAGCTTTGCCACACTGCATACATTCAAAGGGCTTCTCTCCAGTATGCATCCGTTTATGTATCTGAAGGTAGGAAGAAGTACTGAAGGCTTTCCCACATTGTTGACATTCATAGGGCTTCTCCCCAGTATGAGTTTTTTCATGTCTATGAAGTTTAGAGGACATAGTGAAGGCTTTGCCACACTGCTTACATTCATAGGGCTTCTCCCCAGTATGAGTCCGCTTATGTATCTGAAGGTAGGAAGAAGTACTGAAGGCTTTCCCACATTGTTGACATTCATTGGGCTTCTCCCCACTATGAGTCCGCACATGTATCTGAAGGTAGGAAGAAGTACTGAAGGCTTTGCCACACTGCTTACATTCATAGGGCTTCTCGCTAGTATGAGTTCGTTCATGTTGGTGAAGGGAAAAAGAAGTAGTGAAGACTTTTCCACATTGTTGGCATTCATTGGGCTTCTCTCCAGCATGGATTTGTTCATGTATCTTAAGGTAAGATGAAGTACTGTAGGCTTTTCCACATTTTTGACATTGATAGGGCCTCTCTCCAGTATGCGTTCGTTCATGTCTGTGAAGGGAAGAAGAAGTAGTGAAGACTTTTCCACATTGTTGGCATTCATTGGTCTTCTCTCCAGTATGGATTTGTTCATGTCTCTGAAGGTAAGACAAACTAGTGCAGGCTTTCCCACATTGTTGACATTCATAGGTTTTCTTTTTCGTATGAGTTTTTTTATGTGAGTGAAGGTTAGACAATTGAGCAAAAGCTTTGCCACACTGCTTACATTCATAGGGCTTCTCCCCACTATGAGTCCGCACATGTATCTGAAGGTAGGAAGAAGTACTGAAGGCTTTCCCACATTGTTGACATGCATAGGGCTTCTCCCCACTATGAGTCCGCACATGTATCTGAAGGTAGGAAGAAGTACTAAAGGCTTTCCCACACTGCTTACATTCATAGGGCTTCTCTCCAGTATGCGTCCGTTCATGTCTGTGAAGGGAAGCAGAAGTAGTGAAGACTTTTCCACATTGTTGGCATTCATTGGTCTTCATTCCAGTATGGATTTGTTCATGTCTCTGAAGGTAACACAAACTAGTGCAGACTTTCCCACATTGTTGACATTCATAGGGTTTCTTTTTCATATGAGTTTTTTTATGTGAGTGAAGGTTAGACGATTGAGCAAAAGCTTTCCCACACTGCTTACATTCATAGGGCTTCTCCCCACTATGAGTCCGCACATGTATCTGAAGGTAGGAAGAAGTACTGAAGGCTTTCCCACATTGTTGACATTCATAGGGCTTCTCCCCAGTATGAGTTTTTTCATGTGAGTGAAGGTGAGTGGACTGAGTGAAGGCTTTGCCACACTGCTTACATTCATAGGGCTTCTCTCCAGTATGCGTCCGTTCATGTTTGTGAAGGGAAGAAGAAGTAGTGAAGACTTTTTCACATTGTTGGCATTCATTGGGCTTCTCTCCAGCATGGATTTGTTCATGTATCCGAAGGTAAGATGAAGTAGTGTAGGCTTTTCCACATTGTTGACATCGATAGGGCTTCTCTCCAGTATGCGTTCGTCCATGTCTGTCAAGGGATAAAGAAGTAGTGAAGACTTTTCCATATTGTTGGCATTCATTGGTCTTCTCATCAGTATGGATTTGTTCATGCATCTGAAGGTAAGACAAAGTAGTGTAGGCTTTTCCACATTGTTGACTTTCATAGGGTTTCTCTCTAGTATGTTTTCTCTGATGTATTCTAAATAAACTTCGGTAAGCAAAGTCTTTCCCACATACATTACATTTAAAAAGTTCTTTCCCAGTGTGCGTGATCATGTGACTGTGAAGACTTGTGGGTGAAACCAAGGTTTTACCACCTTCTTTACACTCATGGGGTTTCATTCCAGAATGAGTTCTTTCATGTTTTCTAAATAAAGTGGGGGAATGAAAGGCTTTCCCACATACCTCACATTGAAAAGCTTTACCTCCCCTATGTGTTTTTGTGTGTCTTTGAACATCTGTGGGAGAAGATGAGGCTTCATCACATTGTTGACATTCATCAGGTTGCCACCCAGTATGAGAATCTTCATGCCTTTGAATGTCATTCAAACAACTGATGACTTTCCCACATACTGTACTTTCATAGGGTCCATCTCCAGTTTGTGTTAACATTTGTGTGTGAACACTTTTGAGAGAAACCAGAGATTTTCTGTATTGTTTCAATTCACATGGCTTCTCTTCACATTCTTCATGCTTGTAGCATTCGGGTCCATAGTGAGATGTGATCTGCCTATGAAGGAATGAAGGGCATATGAAGTCTTTGGCACACGTAATGCAGTCACATGAATTTACTCTATTAAAATTTGTCTTTGCTTAAGAATTGGTATCTCATGGCCAGCACATTATTAATACTTGATTAATTCATGATGTTGTATTTATTTAAGGTCCTAGGTTAACGTTACTTCCAACATGAGGTAAAGCCTACGTTTTTCAAACTTGTTCAGATTGCCAGAAAATACAGAGATTGAGAGGAAACAATGCTTTGCAACACAGCTTGCCTATGGTCATTATCCAAATAGTTATACTCACATATGCAATTTCATAATACTTTTTGCATGTCAAGCACTTTGAATAGACTTAATGTGTGTGTGTGTGTGTGTGTGTGTGTGTGTGTGTGTGTGTGTGTATATATATATATATATATATATATATAAATTTATTTCAGTTGACAATAGACTTTATTGATTTAAATGTGGTGGTGAGAAGAGAACCCAATGCCTCAAGCATGCAAGGCAAACTCTCTACCATGGAGCCACAACCCCAGTCCCAGTGAAGTATATATTTCTGGTAAAAAATCTTATAAGAATAAATACATTTAAAGTTGTGCAAATTTCTTGCATTGGTTTTAAAAATTATATGATATCCCCAGATTCCCTCAAGGATTCCTCTTGTGAGTACAATTACCTTAGATTGCTCCCAAAATTTTTGATCTGATTTTCAATGTTCTTCTCATCACATTTGTTTCCTAAAATGTGAAACCAAAACATTATTTCTATTTCAAATTTCTAGGAGCTAGAAATGCTTTTCCAAATTCATGGTGCATTTTATGCTACATTAATTCACCAACTGATTGTCTTTTCATGTTCTACATAAATAAAAAAAAATGAACACACATTCTCTAATTAAGTAAATACACAAATTATTACCTATAGATGCCAGGTTTCTGAGGACTTCCAGCATCACATCTCTGTAAAGGTTCTTCTGGGAAGCATCCAGCAAATCCCACTCCTCCTGCATGAAGTTCACAGCCACATCCTCAAAGGTTACTGAGATCTAAAATATCCCACAAATATGTAGTGGAGGCCAAGAGAGATTTGACAGCGTGAGAAATCTATACTCAACATGCATGATGTTCACATGATTCCCTGGCCTCTCGATTAATTCCACAATTTGGTCATTGAAATCTCCAGTGCATTTAATTCTTCACAGCCACTCCAACACTAGATTTGGGCCCACACAAGGTAAATAGTAGAGTGTTGTACACCCTTCCTTTGGTGAGTTCACAGGAAGTAAGAGGGGCTCCCGGGTCACCCTTATCTTATTTGTTGATTACATCTCTATCACCTTCTTACCAACATCCTGTGCAGTAGAGAGCTAATATTAGCACCCTCCTTATTACTTACCCTTAGAAAAGAAAGCTGACTGAGTAGGAAATTGCTGGGATCACAAAACTCAGCATTTGAGAGATCCTGCCAACCACAGTGGCTCACTGGGCCTACACACTTAATATAGACAACATGGTATTTACTGATCTCCTGTTTCCTTCTGAAAGTCAATTGTTCCATCGTAAAAGAAAAGCCTAGAATCAACCCCAACCCACACCCTCAGAGTATGGAGTCACTAAACAGTTTCCCTCATAGACAACAGTTAGACAACCTTCCACACCGGTTGTTACAATGTGTTCACTGGGGACTGAGCTCAACTTGGGTGATTACACTGAGGACAACTAGAAGTTTGCAGGTGCTTTACTCCAGAACAAATTTACCCAATTAGTAGTCAACCTCAATGATTAGTAAACACAACAATATAATAATTTCTGGTGGTTAATGTCAAAGCAGAATGGGGTGTGTGGAAAGATGGCATGTGTCTCAGAAAGAACTCGATGACCCCAAGATGTTACCTTGTCCAAACAACAGCCTTACAAAATTATATCGGTTTGAAAAATAGTTTTCTTAACAGCAGAAAATCCTTTTCCAAACCTCATGGCAACCATGAATGTCCAATGACTCTCAAACTCTTCTGAATGGCAGAAGTCTCACTCAGATCATGTACAGTCATGAGACACATACCACCGTTCTGCTCAAGGACACTTTGATCAAGACAGGCCACATGAACAATGGTGGTCTGTCATGAAAGAGATTCCTCGTTCCTGCAGCACAGCTGGTGCAAGGAAACCTCAGGCACAAGCACTTCCAGGGTGTGTTAAAGCAGCAGGTTTGCAGTCCAGAATCCTGAATACCCCACGCTGACTGCTTGTGAAACAGGCCACTCCATGTGGGTCTCTAAGCAGGCTATGATTTCTGCACAGTGTGGAACAGCCAAAAAGACCACCTACCAGAATAGGACCTTGCCACTCACAAAGAACCATGCTCAAGGACATAAGACACATGACATTTGAAGCACGACAGTATCAACAGAGGCTACTAGGAGCCTGAGAGAAAGCCTTTAGTGGGCTGTCATTCGTTGCATGGACAAAGTATGAGTGACAGCAGGTGTCTTGGAGACAGATCACAATGATGGTATAGGCAAACTGAAATCTAAGTGGCAAAGGGTACTTCATCCATCTATCCTACAGACAAATATCATTTATTATACATTTAACTGTGAAAGACTAAAACACTTTTCAAAATTTTAAAAAATATATAATTACTACCTGCCCCCAGAAAAAAGAAAGTCAAGGCTTTGACAACTCAAATAGGCTTCCAGGAGACACTGAAGACCTGCCACCAATTTTCTACTGTTATTTCCAGAAAACAGAATTTGAGTTAAAACTTCCTAATTCTTTCTTTTTATATTTATTTTTTTACTTGCAGTTAAACACAATAGCTTTATCCCATTTATTTATGTGGTGCTGAGGACTGAACCCAGGATCTTGCACATGCTAGGCAAGTTCTCGACCACTGAGCCACAACCCCAACCCACCTTCTAATTCTTTATATGGCATATTTTATCATATTATTAAAATTAAATAGATAAAGAAAAGTATTAAATAGAAAACTATGAAAGACTTTCATGATCATGAATGCAAAATTCCTCATCAAACAATACTTTACTGAACCCAAAAATAAATAAAAAAGAATTATAAACACAGCCAAGAGGAAATTATTACAGCTCTGTAAGACTGATGCCAAATTAAAAACTCAGTTAACATTTTCCAGGGACCAGCATACTACTGTGAGAAGTCAAGCCCAGTGGCCCAGATCCACTCACATCGGCCTCTGCAGGGCCCAATTCAGAATTAAAAAAACAATTAACATTATCCATCACAACAAAAAGCTAAATAATAAATATTGATTATATCAATAGTTAAAAAAATCAAGAAAAATGAAAAAACACACAAACTCAAAAAAACACAATGTCTTCATAGAGAGACAGCATGATCCTCTATGCTACTGGAATCCACTGAAGAATCATGAAAAACAATGATGTGACATCAGTGTTGTCATGTTCATAAACAGGAAAATTTTTATGTTATTGACAGCAGGAAGCTGGGCATGGAGGCCATGCCTGTGGTCCTTGACAATCAGGGGGCCGAGGCAGGATGATCCCAGGTTTGAGTCCAGCCTGGGCAATGTAGCAAGACTCTGTTTCTAAACAAAAAATTAAAAGTTTTAGGAATGTAGCTAAATGGTAGAGCAGCCCTGAGTCCAACACCCAGCACCAAAATGAAAAGAAAAACAAACACACACCACTTATACAGAACCAATAAAAGAGAAATACTCATATATAAATCTAACAAAAATCTGTATGACAAAAACTGCTAACTTCTAATAAAAATATCAGAGACATGGAGAATATTTGGAGATACTTTTATGTTCACAGATGGGAAGCCTCAGTTACCATCAATTCTTACCAATTTTATTTATGGATTCAATATAATCCCAATAAAAATATTTTGAGTTATGTTTTCAGTAACAAAAGATCCAGAACAACCAACACAGTAATGAACACTCAGTTCACAGGATGAACACTACCTGAGGTTAACAACTACTAAAAATCTACAATCATCAAGACACAGTGGTATTTGGCACAATATAAAAATATTCCACTGATCTTTGACAAAGGAGCAAAAGAAAATCAATGGAAAATATAGTCTCTTGGACAATGTTGCCAAAGCACTGGACATGAATTAACATGTAGAGAAAGAAAACATTCTCATTTCACAAATGTCACAGAGCTCCCAGTGGAGCCTCAGTCTCAAAGTAGGACACACAGCTGGGGCTGCAGCTCTAGCAAAGCACCTGCCTGGCAATTAGGAGGCCCAGGGTTCACTTGTCGGCACCAAAACATTGCTATACATTGTAGTACCTAATGCAAAACTCCAAACTTCTCTAAAATAACAAAGAAATACAGAGAAATCTGGGCTGGAATGACAGCTTCATATGCAAAATCAAACACATGAACTGTGAGTGAAAAACTTGTAAATAGAACTTGATCAAAACGAAGTTTGTGTTTTTCAAAAGATGCCTTGAGAGAATGAGAAGACATGCTGGAGAACTGGACAAAATGTTGTCACAACACATAATGACACTGGGTTGGTATTCAACATACATGAAGAATACTCAGTAAAAAAATAAGCAACCAAGTTGGAAGTGGGAAGAAGATTAGGAAAGACACTCATTCAATAAAGAGGCACAGTTAATACATGTGTGAGAAGATATTCACCTGCATATAATTAGGAAACTTCAAAATGAACAATGAGGTGCCACCAGGTACTCAACTGGAGTGGTGAAATGCCAAACACTAAAAGCTCCAAAAGACAGTGAAAACTTAAATCAGCAAGAACCCTTCCCTGGCTCATGTGAATGGAGAGAAGAACACTGTCTCTGGAAGACAGTCACGCTCTTACAAAATAAACATGGTGCACTCTACAAATAATTCACCACACTCCCAGGTGTCTATGCAAATGAGGTGAAAATTATGCACAGAAATCTTCTCAGCAGTGACTACAGCAGCCATATCCAGAACTGCCCAAAGCTAGAAGCAAGGAAGATGCACCTTTCAATGCTGAATGGACGAGCTGCAGTTTACCCACACCAAAGAACATCACCCAGAAAGTGAGCTCTGCAGCCTGCAAAGATACAGCACCCTTAAAGGCAGACTGGTAAGTGAGAGAAGCCAATCTGAAAGGCCAAGTGCAGTAAGATTCCAAGTCAAGAACATTCCAGAAGAGACAACATTATAGATGCACTGAAACTCTTCTGTATGACATTATTATGTAGAGTATGTGACACACAAAATCACACCACACAGAGGAGGAACCCTAAGGTAAAGGATGGATTTCAGCTGATGATAAAGTGTTGCTTCATCCACTCTCTTAATCAAATGTAGGCTACTGATTCAGTAACTAACAAGCATCCAACATCAATGCAAAATATTGAGAACAGTGTAGAGAAGGGTGTTTGATACTATATGTAATGGCTCATTAGAATTGTCAACCGCATTGGATTAAGAGACACCTGTGATTAAGAGGCCTCTGGGTGTGTCCGTGAGGGTGTGTCTACAAATGATTGGCATGTGGAATAGAGAACCAAACTAGAGAACCTCCTTAGGTATAGGCAGCACCATCCAATAGGACGGTGTCTTAGGTGGAACAAAAGTTGGAAGAAGAAGGAAGCAGCAGCAGAGAAAGCCCCTTTCTTCTCCAATAGCTGCTGCAATGGCCTGAGGATATCAGACACTGCCTTCTTCACTCTCCCAAAGTGGACTCTGCCTGTGATTCTCCAGGGAGTTTCCAGAACCTTTGGTCTGACTAGGGCAGCACCAGTGATCCCTCTTGTTCTGAGGCTTCAGCCTCCTGGACTCTGCAGCTACTACTTCTCAGGCTCTCCAGCTGCAGATGGTCACTGTGGACATCCAGCTTCAGGTCAAGTAGGCCAATCTAGTAAGTCCCCTTTTATAATCACACTTCGTGTTGATGCTGTTCCTCTAGAAATCATTGATTAACAAACTATAAGTCTAAAATTGCTCTGAAAAACAAAATTGATTTAATAAGGAAATGAATGAACTACCATGCCATAAACTTTAACAAATATAAACATAAGAAAAAATAT